GTCTTAGTCTTGACTTGTAATTATACTTTAAAATGTTTTATCGTTATTTCAAATGAAACAACAGGCATTTGCCCCAGCTGTTGCTTGCCCACCAGAAGTAGCTAAGGCCTAACTGCTAAACATGCCATGTACACACTTTGATTGTGGGGTATAGAGAAGTCAAGCTGGGACCAGGATCCAGCTCTCATGGTGGCAGAGGGTGTTGTTACACAGGGCTGGGGCAGGAGTGCTGCCAACAGTCTTACTGCAGCTCCACTACTGAGCAAGACGAGCAAATCGATGACAAGGGTGAGATCTGAGGCCTGCTCCTCAGGATGGAATCCAAATCCACCACTATATCCTGGTCAAAGCTCATGGCTGTGAAAGTCATAATAGGTCCTAGCGGGGGAGCTACCACGACTATTGTTCTGCTAAAAGAACATCATGTGCCTATTGGCCGGTGGCTAGGGCTTCTTACTGTCTAGCTCTCTCTTAATTATTAGGCCATAACTACTAATCTATGCATTTCTGCTTGACCTTATCTTAGCAGAGAACGCCTGGCGTGTCCTATCTTCCCAGTCTCTGCATGGCGTCTCTCCCTGTTGGCCTGTCTCTGCCTCCTCTCCCCAGAATTCTCCTTGTCTCATAGCCTCACCTATCCTTCCTGCCTGACTGCTGGCCAATCAGTGTTTTATTCACCAGCCAATAAGAGAAACAGATTTATGCATAAGGACATCCCCATCATGTGCCCATCAAAGTAGCTTAGTGCAAACTAGATTAGCGCAGCCATTGCCTTTGGTCAGAAAAGCTCCTCTCTACTGTGGGCAACCAGAACTGCATGACTCATTTGTAGCCAACGTGCTGGCCACTTGGGATGCTCAGCCATGAATAGGTCTTTTGTATCTGTCCCTCCAAGGGCCACTACAGAGCTGGGGCAGGAAGAATGTAAGGGATAGAGAAAGGTGCGAAGCCAGGTGTGTTCTCTTCAGAACTTGACATTGCACCCTTGATCTCTCAGAAGGTGTGATTACTGGGCCTGTGGGCTTCCTGCCATATGGGGAAGGGGAACTGCAGAGGTCTGCAAGAACCTATGGGCAGATAAATAGCGGGGAGGTGTTCACCTCCACCCCTGATTATCTGTGGGGACTTGAGAGAGGGACATTCTCTTCTGTGGTGTAGCCGCTGATGTTCCTATGAACAATAGCATCCTGTAAGTAACCTGTGGGAAAACTCAGCCTCAATGGGCCCGAGAGCCAGCCTAGCCTGATAGTAAGAGCATGCACAGTAGATATTTCCTGGCAGCCAGCCTAGGTCTGCCAGAGGGCCTTGACAACATTGAGAGATGATGTGGACTTATGGACAGAGTCCACATCACCTCAGCAGGTGACAGCTCAGTGGATCTCCTCCCCGGGGGCAGGGTTGGGTAATATATAACGCTTCCCCTTTCCTGGAATAAACTGAGCTTGTTGTTTCAACTTGTTCCCAGTGCCTGTGTCGTTGGTGTTGTGCCTACTTTCCCCCACCCTAAGGGACACCCTTTGGGATCCTGCAATGGAAACCCTTGTGAACCTCACTGAATCCTCAAAAGCTAAAGCAAAATGAAAGTAGAAAAGGGACTAGAAAGAATATATCTCCAGTAGCAGAAAGGGATAGAGGGTAGATGGGGGAGGACCAACCAACTTGTATATATGTGTGAAAATGCCGTAATGAAACGTATATAATTAGTAAATAGATAAAGCCTTGTCTTGGTAGGGTATTGAAGAAACAAATATTCTTTGAAAATTGCTTGTTACTGCATGTGTATGATAGAGAACATGTATACCTCAGGGGACAATTCTGTGGTGTTACTTCCCAACCCCCTTCATTTTTACATATGATCCACAACTTAGGTCATGAGCCAGCCCAGAATGAACATTCTTTCTGGGGACATATGGAGTGTATAAAATTCACATGTCCCGTACCCTAAAAGCTTGGGGCCAGAGGCATAGATTTGGAATCATTTTAAATTGGGGGATATTAACACATACATAATATCTTGAGGATGGAGTCTAAGTGTAAACACGAAATTTCTTTGCTTAATATGTATTTTATACAAGTCTCCTGAAGTTGGTTTTATATAAGGTGTTTAGGGCAGCTTTGTTTTGAGAGCATATGTGGAATCTGTCATCATGTGGCCCCTCATGAAGTTTCAGATTTTGGAGTATTTTGGATTTCAGATTATGGATGCTCAACCTGTTTATCAGAATATGGACTATGCCCAAGTTTTTTTTTTTTTTAATGATTTCTTTATCTGTATTTTCTATAAGTGAATATTTTATCTACATGTGTGTATTGCAGCATACGTGCCTGGTGCCCTTAGAGAAAAGAGGTTGCAAACCCTTGAACTGGAGTCAGAGATGGTTGTAAGCCATCATGTAGGTGCTAAGAGTTGAACCGCAGAACTCTGCCAGAGCAGCAAGTGCTCTTAACTACTACTGGGCCTTCTCTCCAGACCCTGTACCTGATTTTTGACCAGATATCCCATCTCTAAATAAGGGGGGGGGGGAAATATGTTAGGAAAAGGTATTTCCTTCCATTGCTATTTATAATCATATAATATTACAAACTTTGAACCCAGCTTAACTGCCTAACAAGAGGAAATGGGTTAATCGGATGCTGACACACATGGAAGGGTGTGGGCCATCGGTACAAATGACCCAACCAGAGTGTGCGCTCTGCGCTATGGAGCCTTCCTACACCTGAGTGAATGGGGGCAAAATCAAGTCACTGGGTCCCTGCATGAGAAGATCCCAACTGGGTGAGATACCTTCATAACTAGAAAGGGTTTTTGGAGTGATGTCTGAAACATTAACAGTGATTATATTGCTAACAGTAGAAATTTAGCCTTTTGATCTTTGTATTTAACTTAGTTTTTAAAAAAAATAACTGTAATTTCTCAAAAAATATAAAACGAGTTGAAAAGACTATGCATTTTAGAAGTCACATTCATTCTTCAGTGGGGCTTAAGTTTTACTTAAATACCTTTCCCCTATCATTACTTTTTAAAAACCTCACAGCCATGTACTCAGGGCATAAAGAAATCCATTCTTGGGTTGAATACACCCACTTAGCGAGAACACTGTCTTGGCTCTTCCTCCGGAGAATTTTATTATGTACTTTGGTCTTTATGGAGTTCTTTTTGTGTGGGGATGTACAAGGTCTTATGACGTTGGGATCCAGACAAAACAATGGTAAAAATGGTTCTCCATCTGTCCCAACTCGTGGGGTAACCGCTGTAGTCCGCACATATTCTCTCTATCTACTGTTCTATCCTTTGCAACCTGCTTTTCCTTTGTGTTTATGATGAGCTGGGAACTCTTCGAAGTCCACTACACATGTGTCACTCATCTGACCCACACAGCCCTCCTGTGAAGTTGATGTTGCAGTCTATACTTTAGGGATGAAAAGCCCAAGTCACAGAGATTAGGTAACCTATCCAAGGTCTCTGAGCTAGCAAACAGCAACGCAGGGACTGGAGCCCAGACGGTCTGCTTTCAAGGCACCTGTGATCTTGACTGCTAGACTCTCCCACCTGTGTGCCTGCCCTCTAAATGTGTTTCCAAACACCTCTCATTGCTCTTCCCAGTCCTTTCCCGAGTTGTCCTCTACAATGGAAATGCTGGGAGGCTGGGGTGGTAAAGTTCATCCTGCTGGGCTTTCCTGTATTAGGTGCTTTCTGGAGCCACCTCTTCCTCTTCATTAAGTCGTCCACCCACTCTCTTTGGCTACTTTTATTCCTTTCACATCTTCTTCTCTGAAGTGTTTAGATTTCTTCTGTTTAGATACATCTCGGGATTAAAATCAAGTCTTTTCAACGTGTCTCACTTTGTGTTGACTGCTGAGACATGACCGATCTTTCCCAGGGCTATGGGGCACACAGGAAGGATACCTTGTCGGGGATGGAGGTGTCCCCAACTGATGGCTAAGGTTGATGGCTAAGGTTGATTCTTTGGAGGAAGCTGTAACTTTAATGAGGTTATAATTTATTCTAGTCATATCGAAGGTGATGTAGGCTCATTGTAAAAATTTTGAAAAATACAAAAAAACATGTGGAGGAAAAAAATTAAAAGCACACATAATCTGACAACCTATGACAACCCCCAGTAACTATGACTTCCAACAACTTACCTGGAAGCAATTCATATCCATTCTTGAACTATAGGTTTCCTCAGTAAATGTGTAAATGGTGATTTTAGGAGATGTCTCTCCATGCAGTTTAGTGCCTAGGAATACTGTTTGACTTAAAGGCATGCCAAAATTGGTGAAATTAATGTCTCCCTAATTGTATACTGCAGTTTGACATTTTAATTAAAGAAATGAAGGAATTTTGAATATTTTAAGACATTAATATGAAAAGGTATAGAAAGATAGAATGAAGCTGGGTGGTGGCTGTGGCACACGCCTTTAATTCTAGCACTCAGGAGGCAGAGGCAGGCAGATTTCTGAGTTCCAGGCTGGACTGATCTACAGAGTGAGTTCTAGGACAGCCAGAGCTGCACCCAGAAACCCTGTCTCAATGCCCCCCCAAACCGATAGAATGACCTTAGCAGTTTTATTTGCCCCTTAAAGTAAATTTTTTTCCATTCCTTTTTTTTTTTTTAATCCTAGCAGGAAATGCATACATAGTGAGCCTTCAACTTCTGTATTAATTTGCATAAGTATGATGACGATCCATTTGAACTATCATCAACCTTTAACTTTTGATAGCTGTCACATTGGTTGTTAATAGTTTTTCTGTTTTATTGTGATTAAACCTTAGCAAACTTTATTGAGGCTGTCTTGTTGTCACTCTGGGGAAAGGTCATAATGCTGGCCATTATACAAATAACAACCAAGGACACTCATGGTCTGGTGAATGGCAAAGAGCCACCATGTTAAGTTTGGTTTGAGCTGCAATGGCTTGTGCCGAGCCTTCATTTTTAAAAGCTAGTCTGGAGGAAAAAGACTGTCTAATTGCAGTATCTCCTCTCTTGTGTTCCCAGGTATCTGGCCATCTGAGGAGGCTTTAGCTTACTACTGCCTCAAGCACAGTAATATATTCAGGTAAGAGCCATACTTAAAAGAGATTTGTTTAGCCCATCGTGTGTATTGAATCTGTGTATTAAAAAAATGGCCTGCTCTACAGCCTTCAAGCTGTAAACTGTTGAAAGGAAGAGGGAAAAAGTCCCCCCATGAACACATGTTGCTTCTGAAAAGGGATCTGCATTGCCTTCGGGTGCGAACACTGCACAGCGAGCTTCTTGCTGTATGTCAAAGGCTTTTGATTTTCACTCAAGGCATTTTATTTCGCTTTGATTTGGGGGAAACAAAAGGGAAGGCGCAATCAATCCTTGCTGATTGTGAAGGTCAAAAAAAAAAAAAAAAATCCCCACAATAAACACATTCTGTAACTTCTGCTAGGGAAAGTCACTGGCACATTTGATAGATGCCTCATGGCTATTACTTGGAGATGTTCTTGTTTTAAAGGCATTTCTTGTGTCCTTGACAATATGTATAATATAAATTACTATACTAAAGAAATCAATACCCTCAGCTGTTAATATGTGTTATGTATCAAACCATGGATGAGTTTTAGGAAAGGAGAGAAATGGCTCTTTATTTAAAAAAAAATTCTGGAGATCTTTGGTACAACTAGAAAGTGGAGGGTTTTTTTTTTTTTTTTTTTTTTTTTTTTCATTTTAATTGTCATTTTGAGAACATCCTATCTATACTTCCTGAATAGTCTATTGTGTTTCATAACAAGCCATTAGTGATCTTGATGCTTTTTAACCATATGTTCTTACAGGATTGGGTTGATACCATGTAATTTTTGAAGCTCTGTGGGTCCATACTTACCAAGCAGTCTGTGATTGCTTTGAATAACTAAATGCCCATCGAAATATTTCCTAACATGAATGACCTCTTTTACCCCCCTCCCCACTTCATTTTCGCTCCCCCCCTTTCTCAGAATGGGAGGGGGAAACAATGTTAAGACTCTAGTACATGTCATCTAAAGAGGGCAGTTCAGAATCCAGGGCTCAGCCCTGAAAGCTGGCATTTCCTAATCTCATTGTACTTACACTGTAGCCAGCAAGCAGTGGCCCAGGGTGAGAATGTCGCACATTGAGGGCTGATCTTTAGGCACAAAAGGGGAAAGTGAGTACAGCATGGCACACTCAGCCTTAACTCTCAGCCCAGCCCTGACTCCAGCCCGGCTCTGCTGGCTTAACCACATTATGTCCCCGCATTGTTTATTTGCTGCTTTGGGCTGGGGTCAATTGTGATCTGCGTGTTAATTGCTGGATGCTCTTTGTGTAATTGTGCTTTATGGGGGTCGTTCAGCTTTCCAAATTGTTTCAGCTTTTTTTTTTTTTTTTAAGAATTAAAAAAAAATCAGGATTGCATTTATTTGTGTGCTGTGTGTGACTCTAACATAAGTTCACACACACTCATATATATATTCTTCGTTTACTTGTCTAACTGGTTTTGAAGGCATGAATGTGGATTAACAATGTTATCCTTCCCTAACAATTATCTTTCGCTACTCTAGCTAGTTTAGTTCTAAAAGACAGCACCATTGACAAGGGGAAAAAAGGGGAACCTTCTCAGATTTTTTTCAGCTCAGCGGTGGTAATGTTGCAGTGAACGCTAATGAGGGGACCCCCCACTGTTTTGCCTGCTTTGTGACTTCTCTATTTCATAATTATTTTTAAAATGCAAAACGACATGAGGTAGCCCAGTCATGTCTCCACAACTCCCTGGTAGTGTCCTTCTTACTGCAGATGGTAATTTGTTCTTGTAACATATATATGGCTCTGACCATTTTCATCTAATTTGTATGGGTTCTACCATTTCTTTCTCTCTTTCAGGGACCTTGCTGTGTGTGAGCTCGGGGGTGGCATGACATGCTTGGCTGGGCTCATGGTAGGTCTTTTCTCAATTCCAATCCCATTCAGAGAGAGGAACAAAAGGAAAAATGTTCCAGGGCCTCCAACTGCTGGGTCAGAGAACCGTCAACAGCATCAGCTGCGGTCAAGCTGCTGGGTCTTGAGAGACCTTCTAGATTGACTTACTTTCGGATCATATTGATTTTATGGTTGCCTCGATGAGCAGAAACATTTTACCTCAGTGTAGTCAATATCGCTTGTTGTGACATTCCAGGCCTCGCAGTTTTTCTTTGCCATAGCGAAAGCTTTTTTTTTTTTTTTTTTTCAGATTATAGTCCCATTTGCTAAGATACAGGAATAGCCCAGCGAATCACAGTTGGAGCACCATGAGATAGCTGCTAATGTTTTGCCTGCATTATTACACCAACAAACATGATCCAGAGCGCTCAGTAATTAGATTCTTTTGAATTAGATTGGCCATTCAGGAACGACGTTCCCCATTCTCTGGGTTCTGAGTCATGTATTCGGGAGATATTATGTAGCAGCACAGTGCATTAGACAAGTTTTTATGTCTCTACAAATAAAAGCATATTGTTACACTGATTGGCATTTGACAAACCTGTCGCTCTTATACAATGTGTCGAGGTTACAGCCCAATGTGCGAGCATGTCAAAGCTCACAAAAAAATTACCCTCACAAAGCCATCTGCCTGCAATGCAAAGTTATATGAAGGGCATCAGGCAGCCAGACAGAAGCCGGCTGAAAGGCGGAGTGACAGCCTTGTATGATGGCTCTACTAGATAAACAGGAGCCCACAAATGAAAGCCTCTCAGAATGCCATCATCCGCTGTCACAATGCAATTACCGAACAGAATGATAGCAAGATAGAGGCTCCCGCAAATGGAATGATAAAAGTATTGACTGATTTGATTGAATGATTAAAATAATGCAGACATAAAATGAAAAAAGATTGAAGATTGTTACAGAGGAATAGGTGAGGAAGCATGATACTGAAGGCTTGTCACTTTCTGTCTTCACTTCCACACAGACAAGCATATTTGCTCATTGTTTGCTGTACTCCTTTTTTTTCCCCCCAGGTTGCTATTTCTGCAGATGTCAAAGAAGTTCTGTTAACTGATGGGAATGAAAAGGCCATCAGAAGTATCCTTATTCAGATAGAAAGCCGGTTCGTTGTGCCCATTCCCACCCCCCACCCCACCCCCGGGCCGAGTAACAATTGATATAAAGAAAGACAGCACGGGGTATTAAAAAAAAAAGAGCTCCCCATACACATGATCGGTAATTAAGAAAAACTAGAGATATATGGATTCACTGCGGTTGACTGCGTGGTGTGTTCCTTTTCACAGGGTTTATGGACACGTCTCACTGAAGGAGTCTGTGTTCTGTGTGCCTCTCGAGGCAATTCAAAATCTTATCTCATAATTTTGAAGCATTCTTGCTCTTTTGTTTTCATTAAGACCGTCCAGCACGAAACTGATTAAAATTATTGTTTACCTCATCTGATGTTGCCTGTAAATATTAATGTCTAGCTTCTATGCCTGTGATACTACACACGCCAGTCATACTGTACCTATGCTAATTGCTGAGGAGTTGCCTGTATCTATATCCCCTCCACTGGAAACGGCTATCGGTTCTTCATTATCTCCTTTTATTTAGGTTTTAAAAGCTATCTCCTTTTTTTTTTTTTTCTGCTATGCTATTACAGTTCAAACCCATTATATTAGATTATACTTTACTAATATGTACACAGAGTTCAGAAAATTGAACTGTACTTTAACTAAGAAAAGTAAGCATAATTTACGGCTACTTTAGCAGCCTAGCAGATGTGTTCAGGGCAGTTAACAGCCGCTAGAAATTGAGAGGAAAAAGTGGAAGATCTGTTTGCTTTGGATTTTTTTTTTTTTTTTTTGACATGGTGAGGAAGACAGGGCCCTTATTTGAATTTTTAGTTCCTTCAAAGGCTTGAGGCAGCTTTGAATTTTGTGGCATTTTACATAAAGCCTATTTTTGATTTCCTTTCCTCCTCCCTCCGCTCTGTAATTTTTTTTTTTTTTTAATAAAATCCAAAGCAGCTCCATCAGCCGTTCACATAGGAGGAAGAAGGAAGAATGGGAAGTATGGTAGCTAATACTGTTCAGCAGCTCTGCAGAACCCCACCCAGCTAATTGCCTGACAGCCTTAAAAAAAAAAAAAAAAAAAAAAAAATTCAGGAAGGAAAAACAGCCAATCACAATCTTTGCCTTTCACACCAGGGAAAGAGATGACAAAAGGTGCTTCCTTTTTTTTTCACGTAGGATTTTTAATCATGATCTTGAAACTGTGGCAAGTTTTTCTAAATATTCCTAATATTCCTGAAGACAGCTGCTGCTGATCCATCCACTCTGCTTTATTCTGGTTTCTTCTGTGTCGGTATCATTTCACCGTGCTCCTCCTCGTCAGGGAGCAGAGAGCAATGGGGGCTCTCAGGTACTCCAGCTCAGCCCCACGCGGTGTCTTCCTGAGGGTGGAGAGACAGGGATATTGAACAAGAGAGAGATGTTTTGGCGACAGAAACTTTCAGATTGGTCCCAGTACCCTGAGATCTTTATCCCCCTGAAGTCACCAAGTGACTTTATTTAATAGCACCAGAAATCAATTAGAACTTTTTACCATCAGACTGGGGTAGGGGGGCAGCATCTGGAATCAGTATGTAAATTTAATGGTACTAAAATTATGATTGAACTAAATCACAGAGTGTCCAAAGAAGGGAAGCCAGGTTTGTGTCATTAATTATTATCGCACCTTCTCTTTGAGCGGTAAAGATGCCAGGCCAGCTCTTGAAATCAGAGAGGAAATCTCAGATTCTGCCATTCACTCTGCCGGCCTTTCAAAGAAATGATTGGTTCAGCCCCCTCCCAAGAAAATGGATTTTTAACATTTGGTCCTCAGAGGCTCAGCCCTGAGAGTGCTTTATTGTGCTGGGTTTTACAATGGGTTTAATATAGCGGGGTGCCAAAGGGCAGGAGGGAGAACCTTACAATGTAGATGAAGTAGGTAGGTCCTTTTAGGATGCAGACCCAAACTGGCCGTGTGTTTCATTTCATCTCTTAGAATCTTCCTGATGGGGTTTGGTTTTTACGATGTGTGCGTGTTCCATGTTTGTGTGCCTTTTTTTTTTTTTTTTTTTTCTGTTGTAAGTAGATCTAATTTATTTTAATTAAGAGAAAAAAGCATGCAAAAGCCTTAAAATTGGCAATGTGGTTTCCTGCTTTTAATACTAATGTTGTTCTTGATTTGAAAACAGCTTACAATAGGCATGCCTTGTAATCTGTTGTGCTGAGTGAGGTTAATATGAGTGACTCCCCTCCCCATTTGTGCCCCCCCATCTCTGTAAGAATCACTCACTCACCAAATAGCATACTGTCAATGCATATAGATCTAACAACTCATTTAGAAATCACTGTTTGTGTCTTTCCTTTAAAATTTTAGGAAGCCCAAATTATATAGCAGTTGTAGGATATTATCCAAAAATTACTTTCCAGAAAGTAAAGGTGGATGTCAATAACAACAAATTAAAAAAAAAAAAAAAAAAAAAAAGGAGAGACATTGCCAGAAGCCAGCAAATCTCTAAGCAAAGCTGCTAATTATTCTTAATGGGCAAGATGAGCACATTAAGAAACAAATGAACACGCCAGAGAAATGATAAAAATCAACCTGGCAGACACTCATCACCCGGGTATTAGCCTTCGTATTAGTCTCATCATTTTAAAATTGTTTCGCTGTCCTTAGCTTCTGAATGGAATAAATCCAACTAGTTTTATTTACTGGTTTCTTTAAGCTTTTATCATTCTGAGCTTTATTTATTTATTTATTTTTTAGGGAAAATAACATGTTTTGTTATCTCATTATTTCATTTCAGCTTTGTTTGCTTTTAATATGTGAGGCAATGGAGAAGTTAGTTCTGGACCTATATATCATAAAAGCATGCTAGCCAGTTATGTGGGTGTTTATCTTTCTGGAGTGTACCAAGGATTGGCTGTGTCTCTAGGTCTCTGTATCTTGACCCCGGAAAGCTAGCCTAAGAGCTCAGATTCACTGGGAAGGATTTACTATCTAAAAGGAAAGTAAGTCCTGAGGTACAATGAGCTTTCTATCTTGAATATTTTCTCGGACTCATGAGTAGGTTTCCTTAAGGTTTTCGTTAGTCCTTAAGGTGCCTCACTGGCTTTAATCCAGGGTCCCCAACCTGAAAACCATCTTTCTCTACAGATATAATCTAATCTGTACCCTCCAAGAATACAAAGGATAAGTTAGAAATGGGATCATCTGGTTTACCCAGTTCTCAATTTTGTTTTAATTATTGTTTTTTGTTTTATGAGTGTAGATGTTTGGCCTACATGAATATCTGTGTTCTATGTGCATATACCTGGTGCCCATAGAGGCCTGAAGAGGGCATCGGATCCCCTGGAACTGTAGCTACAGATGGTTATAAGCCGCTGTGTGAGTGCTGGCAATCAAAGGAAGCAGCCAGTGCTCTTAACCACTGAGCCATCTCTCCAGCCCCTCAAATCTATTTTAAAATAATGTTTAAAAAAAAATGTCCTTTGGTATTTCCCTTTTAGTGCTGTAAAGAAAGAAATTCCTAAGTTTTATTCACATGTAATAACTACTTGATGAAGTGTTGAGGTGTGTAGCTGGTGAGGACAATGAGAAAAGAGAAAAGAAAAGAAACGGCAGGCTAAATTCTGATTGCTGGAGAGCCCTCTGCAAGCTATAATGAATAGAAGTAGAACTGGGGTATGGAGAACTTGCCTATAATCTCAGCCCTTGGGAAGTGGAGGCAAAGGTCTTTGCAAGATACACACGCACATCCACATACCCACACACAGATACACATGCAGATATAATTTAAAATGAATTCTGTTTTTAAAGAACAATACTGGGGCTGGACAGACAGCTTATGGGTGCTTTTCAGAGGACCCAGGTTAGATTCTCAGCACTCACTCTATGGTTCACAGCTGTCTGTAACTCCAGTCTCAGAAGATCTGGTGCCCTCTTTTGGTCCCCAAAGACACTGGTCACACACATGGAACACATACATATATGTAGGCAAAACACCCATGTACATAAAATAAATAAGTAATTTTAAAATTAACATGATTCAAAACATATACACAACTGATAAAAAGTAATTTATTACAAAGCAAGACCAATATTTTCAAGAGCATTTTACACAGCTATAATATGTGCAATTTGACCTAACAGACTTTTGTTGTTATTGTATATGAGTATATATTTTAAGAATAAAAATAAGCATAATTAGAATGGAGCGTCACTCCTGACTTGTGCCTTAATCAAGACGGAAGCTGGAGGTAGCCATCTGGCTCCCTCTGAGCCACACACAGTTGCCGTGGCAAAGGAACTGAGTGAGACAAGTACCCCGGCTCCATCTCATCCAGAAACCAAAGGAAGGCTTTCCTGTCACCCAGCCCCTCCCACTGAGAGTTTCTGGAAGGTGGATGCAGATCACAGAGCACAACTGGGTCTGTTGTGTTGAACATTATCCTGGTCATATTGACTCAGTTTGATTGGATTTCCTTTATTACCCTGAGGTGACACAGGGAGATGATAAAATCTATTATTGGACACAGTGCCATCCAGAAAGACCATCAAAATCTGACCTACGGGGTGGGAGAGCGGAATATCAGAGTTTATCTCTGAAGGTAATGTTTTAACATAGCACGGCCACCTATTCTCTGTGATTCTTTTAATATATTTCTAAAAGCTCTTCTGAACTACAAAATATATTTCCTGCCCAGTTCTAAAAATAAAGCAGACTAAATACTGCAGTGAATTTTTCATTAAAAAAAAAAAAACCTCTAGAATATAAATATCCATGCTTGCTACAGCCTGACCACCTAGAGTCTCGGGCTTATAAATTGTATAAAGTATATAGTGTTAAGATGTTTACTAGAAATTATTAATAGGTTTTCTCAGTTATATAATTTAACTTCCCTGTGACTATTTTATAAAAAAGTATTACCTCCACTAACAAAATAATATGTTTTGCTTGATAGATTAGTCATGTACTCATAGGACGCTACAGGTGTGCCGGGCACATTATAGCAGGCAGTTGGATACCATGGAAACTCGAGGTTGGGTGTGGCTAGGGGAGGGGACTTAATAAAAAACACTTGTCAGTTGACTTTTACTAATTTTGTGCTTCTCCGAATGAAGATGTCAGCCGTCCTTTCCTGTAAGATACTTCATCTAGAACGCTCCTGAAATAGACAGAAACCGTAGGCCGATGTGTCATTTTAGTTAATCAAAACAAGTAGGGAAATTAGTCTCCTTTATTTTTTTAATGAATGTAATTTAACGGTATTTAATTTGCATACAGGAAAGTTCACCCAGGAAAAAAAAGAAGTCTGCATTATGGCACTTTTGTAAACCTCTACAAAGCCCATCATTAGGGGACCTAATTGATTTTCCTTCCTGCTCCTGAGGGGAGGAGAGCTATCCCACATACCTGCTTATTCACTCAGAGAAGAATGGGTGTGCCTGGCGGTGCAAGCAGAGATTTGGGTTTAAGAATCCTGTGGTTCTGTTCTGGCAGGGAGATCTTGGCCAGTGTTTGCTTTGAACATTCAGGAAATGCGTTTTTCCAAGCAATAGGGGAACATCGCTGTCTGCCTGGTGTCCTCCCCATGGGCCCAATTTCGTTCAGCTTGCAGCCTTCAATAGCATTATTTTAGTTCCTGTTTATTCAAACTTGCCATACTCCAGAAGGGGGATTGTGGGGCGTCTTATAGAAAACGTGTCAAGTCAAATAAATGAGAAGTGGGGGCATTCGGAAATTAGGAAATCAGAGGACTGTGGGGAAGCCAGGGACAGAGGTCAGCACAGAAAATAAGACCACAGGAGTTTCTGGGTGTCAGTGTTAGTATATTCATTAGGCTTTGTCAGTCCAGGGGCCAGAGCAAAGAATGAAATGGCAGCATTCACAGAAAGCTGTGCTGCCCATTGTAGATCTGAAGTCCAGCTCTTCCTGGTGTTGAACTAGATGTGTTCCCCCCCCCCAAGGGACTTTAGATGTCATGCAAAGTTTCTATAATATGAGCCCCATGTCAGCGCAAGGTCACAGGCCAAAGCAGAAGTTCTTCAAGGGACCTTCCCTAGTGTAGACAGAGGTTCTATTTGCCTGGTCCCACCGCCCTTAGTCGCAAATAAACACACAGAGGATTGTATTAATTATAAACTGTTTAGCCAATGGCTCGGGTTTCTTACTGGCTAGCTCTCTCTTAATTATTAACCCGTAACTATTTATATATTTCTACATGGCCGTATCTTCCTGGAGAATGCCTACTGTCCTATCTTCCAGGCAGCTGCATGTCATCTCTCTGGCGACTTCTCTCTGCTTCCTCTCCCCAGCATTCTCCTTGTCTGGTAGTCTCGCCTATACTTCTTGCCTGGCTAGTTTTATTCATCAAACAATTAAGAGAAACGTATATACAGAAGGACATCCCTAGAATGGTTTTCTTCTTCCATTTGCATTTCCTCCGAAGATGCTCCAGATTTTCCTCCATCCCTTTGCCTCCTCCCAAAACTGTCCCTGCTGCTCATCTCCCCTCCCCCTACAAGCATTTAGGAGATTGGAACCACTTCACACTTCAATTAGGAAAGTCATCATAGGCTGCCATTGCCCTCCCCACCGACTGATGGATGTCTGTCTGTCTTTGGATGCCCATGTTCCCCAGCAGTGCCCTCCAGCACCTATCCCCTGGGCCCTTCCACGGCACTACCTAGGTGTCCCTCCCACAAGTGTTAAGATCGCAAGCCCGAGAATGGAAAGATCTTGCCAGCACTGAGTCGGCGTTTCATGGCACAGCATCAACCAGTCATGTCTTTTTCTCATGTTGAACCCACTGTGATGAGAAGCCAGTGTGTTTGTAGGTTTCCGTGTTAGTCCGTTGATGATCACTGCAGACATTTTCTTAACTGTGCCCCCCCCAGATGTGAACAGCATCATCGCAAGCAATCAGAAGACTGGCGTGTTTAAGGCTCAGAAAGTATCAAGCTGGTAAGATACCTTTCTGTTTCCTGTCCGAATGAAAGCAACTCTCGGTGGAAACTGCTTTCTTGATGCTGTGGATTAATACAGTAATAGTAGATCATGCTTACTGAGCTCTGTTCTGATCAGTAATACCAGTTCTGATCACTGATACCAGGCACTGCTCTGGGCACTTCACATGTATCATCTCATCTAGCCATGGGAGACTCCCACAAGGCAGGCAGACACTCCTTCAGTAGATGAAAACACCAGAACTACATATGGTGTGGAACACTCAAGTAATGCATTATCCACTGAGTTAGGGACACTTCTTGGCTCAGGAGAGTTCCGTTCTGTTTTGTTTTCATTTTGTTTTTTTAATATTTGTTGGTGTTTTGCCTGCATGTATGCCTGTGTGATGGTGTCAGATCCTCTGGAACTGGACTTTCAGACAGTTGTAATCTGCCATGTGGGTGCTAGGATTGAACCTGGGTCCTTTGGTCCAGTGCTCTTAATCACTGAGCCATCTCTCCAGTCCACTTGATGGTTAAGATTATGCAGTATGAGGTTGGGGAAAGCCCAGCTTGAGGCCTTCTTAAGTGGCTCTATTCCAGTGGCCCTCAGCATGGGCAGTCTTGTACCTCTAGGGGATTCTGGCATCCCTGGGAAGAGTCTTTATTATTTTTGTGATCACTTGAGGTCAGAGCAGATACTGTACCTACTGGTTTCTACTGGTCCTGATGCTTAATGATGGAGATCACTCATAGCTTTCAAAATACAGCAAACTCCCCAATTATAGAAGCAGGTGGCCTAGGGCATCAATAGCGTTAAGGCTAAGATATCTTCATCATCTAGTCCCTTTCAGTTCTGTGCGTTCTTTTTTAGGCTGGTAGAACTGCTTTCCCCTGGTAGAACCACTGTGTGCTCTTTGATGCTCCACCCTGTGACCAGTTGGACTAAAAGGAGAATGTCATCCATTAGTACACATGAAACAGCTGTATCTATGCATTTTCCTTTTGTCCATTTAACTACAGTTTCTGTCACAGTAACAGTCCCATTCGGAGTTATCCCATCTTTCATATTATTCTGGCATCCTTTGGTGTTTTAAGTTTTCTCTCTGTTGAGGACACTTGCCTACCCTGACTGTGTAGTTTGAGAAAAACAGTTGGATGAACAGACACAATGAATAAAAACCAGTGATGCTGGGAAAGATGGCATGAATCTGTAATCTCAACACTCGGGAGGGAGACTTAGTGGAGCCCTTCCTCCATGGTTCACACAGCCGTTTCCTTCTGGAAAGGACTTCATTTTGGGACATGCTTCTCAACCTGGTCTTTTAGTTATCAATCAAAAGTGCATTTTCTATGTTGTTCTCATTTACATTTATTTAGTGCTTAAGGTCATTTGTGACCATTTGAGGGTATTTCAGCATATGGAATCAGAGAATAATAGACTTCAGTTTCACGCTGTGCAGTGAGATTGTGTTTTTACAAGACATAATGTTGTTTACTGGGTGTTAATAATCACTAATTAATAAACATAGCTAGAGTTCCAAAATATTGCATTTTAAGGAATAAAAATGTCAATTATTCAACTTGGGGCATGCAACAAAATTTTCTGTTATCTCTTCATAAAATAATTAAGTTACATAAAGTGAAATGTTTCTGTTCAGCACAGGGTAGATCCCAAATGCTTACTGCCTGGCCTTTGTTCAGATGTGTCTGCTCTCAAAAATGCTATGCCTATATGTATTCTTCTGATACATGGGGTGACATAAAGGCAATACAGGGTGCATTTCAGTAATAATACCAGATTCCCTAATGAGAAGTGCTTTTTTATTATTGTTTGTTTATTTTGGGGTTTTTTTTTCTACCTTTATCAAAGACTAATTGTGGTCAGTTTCCTCTTTTGTAAAAACTAAGAGCATTTTTATCCAAAGTCTTCTAAAGAATCGCAGGAAGCCAGGAGGGGCTGGGAGATGGCTCTGTTGATTAAGGGCTCGTCGTGTAACCTTTAGGAACTGAGTTCAAATCCTTAGCACCCATGTTAAAACAAGCAAAAAATGGTTCCATGGTATGTACCTGTAATCCTAGCACTGGGGAAGTGGAGACAGGAATATCCTTGGATCTGGATGGCCAGCCAGTCGAGCCAATCGGGCGAGGCTCAGGTTCAGTAAGATATTCTGTCTCATAAAATAAGGTGGCTAAATGATTGAGGGAGACAACCAACATTGACCTCCAGCCTTTATGTGCATATACTCATTCACACTCCAACACACACTCATACACACATACACATTCATATACACACACACACTCCTCATACACATACACACACATACACACGCACACACACACACTCCTCATACACACCCCAACACAAACACATGCACATCTCAACACACACCCTTATACATGCCCCAACACATACACATACTCATTCATACACACTAATACACACCTCCAAACACACACATACTCTTACACACCCCAACACAACACTCACACACACCCCAACACACACATTCATGCACACCTCAACACACACATACTCATGCACACTCATGCACATCCCAACACACACACATATACACATACTCATACATACCCCAACACACCCCATATACCCCAATACACACATTCATACACACGCCAACACACACACAATCATACACAGCCCCAAACACACACATACATGCACACACTCATATTCACCCCAACACACACATACTCACACACCCCAACACACACACACACATACACACTCATCATACACACTCCCAAACACACATACACATATACTCTTGCATATCCCAACACACACACACACATATACACACATATATGCACATCCCCAAACACACACACAATACTTATATACCCCCAGCACACACACTTCTACACCCCCCAAACACATACACATACTCATACTCACCCCCAAACACATACATATACTCATACACACTGCAACACATACACACTCATACACCTCCCCAAATACACACACACACACACAAACACACACACGTTCTCATACTCACCCCCAAACACACACATATACTCATACACACTGCAACTCATACATATCCCCAAACACACACACACACATACACACACACACACACACACAGGAACACACACAAGGTGGGGGAGGGCAGGTGAATAAGTGTGATCTTATAGGAAGGAGCTGCTTGACCACCTAACCTCCAGCAGCTGAGAAAGGGAAAGCCACCAGCCAGTGCCACAGTAATCAGAGTTCCCCTTTCTGCGTACTGCTTTCCCACCCATAACCAGTACAATCCGGGTAAAACTATTAGTTCCATGAGAGAAGAAATAAAAGGAAACCATTCACAAAAGAGCTCAGATATAGTTCAATATTCTTTTCTAGTGCCTCAATGCATATGCAGAATTTCTCCTCCAAATTGGAGGTGTGGAATAACAGTAGCGACAGATAACTAAGAGGTATTTACCATAGCTACAAAGCCTACACGTGAGCCAAATATTTCTGCTATTAAAAAGCACTTCAAAGCTTGACATGAAGTTTGTAACAGCTGAATGTCTCTTGTGACTTCATTTGCACAGGAGATGTTAAAGCTGAAAGGGAAGTCATGATACGAGAACCGTGAGCCTTCAAAACAGGGCTTTTCGAGAGGAATGAGAAGCTGCCCAGAAATTTGACTGGCAACCCATGCTTTGATTCCCCAACTCAGTGTCCTCAGTAAATGCTGTGGTTTGTCCTTCAGAGGTCATCTGATAAAGGCTTGGACCCCAGCCTGATATTTGACCCTTGTGAAAGGTCCTTTGATTCCCTCAAAGGTGTCTGGACCCATAGGTTGAGAACCACTGCTATACTCATCAGACAGTGTAAACACATTATTAGTGCTTATTGGCAGGGTCCTTTTGCAAGTGAGAGGCTGTGACAGGTGTTTCATTTAGCCTTGTAGTAAATCTGCCCCAATGTCAAATCTCCTCCCTTGTCCTATTATTTGTTTGTTTTTGAAACAGGGTCTCACTATGTAGACCAGTCTGGGCTTGAACTCAGATATCTGCCTACCTCTGTCTCCCAAGTGCTGTCACTCAGCCTTTTTTTTTTTTTTTTTAACACTATCATGCAGAGTGAAGGTGGCACACAACTTTAATCCCAGCACTTGGGAGGCAGAAGCAGGCAGATCTCTGAGTTTGAAACCAGCCTGATCTACAAAGAGAGTTCCAGGGCATCCAGAGCTACTCAGAGAACCCTATCTCAGAATCCTCTGATACACTTTTGTAAGGAGTAAGGTTTTTCCTCCCGCCGCTAGTCTGGTCCCGCTGCCACGCCAGCCCCAATTAACACACTGAGACTCTGTATTTGATATAATTCTGTTGGCCCATTACTAGTTTCTAATTGGCTAGCTCTGTCTTAATTATTAACCCATTTCTGTTAATCTAGTATTTCCACCTGGTCTTCTCTTAACCAGGTAGCCGGCATTCTGCATTCTCCAGACTCTCCGTCTTGACTTCCTACTTCCTCTTTCCTCCTTGTCTTCTAGTCCCTCCTATCTCTCTTTCCTATTGGCCAACAGTGCTTTATTCATTAACCAGTATGAGAAACATATATACATAATGGCATCTCCCATCACACTTGAATCCAGTTTCACTGTTAAACACCGAAGTGATGCTTGTGAAGGTGGGGCAGCATTAACACTGGCCAGTCAGGGATCCACATACATGAAGCATTCTGCACATGCTATCTGATGGCTCTCCTGTCCACCCACCCATGCAACGGCTCACTCATTTATCAAATGAATCTAAGGTACGCCTTTGGGATTCTAAATATGGAACTGTTGGGAGTAGTTTGTGAACAAAGGAGCCATACTTCTAAATAGAGTGAGAAATTCATGAAAGAGCAAGGCTGTTTACAACAGCTCAATTGTTGGGTTTATCTGGAGCTGTCTTCAAAACCATGACTCGAACAAAGAACCGCTTGGAGCTTTTGACATCTGTGTGTTTCTGGGGCTTCCAGAATCAGTGACTAGCATCTTCTCCCAGTTA